CTATGACTCGACAACAACGCAAAGGTACTTGTCACCTCACCTATACGTTGTATCCAATATCTAAACATGTAGAAAATAGGCAAATAGGTCCTAATCCCTCAAGCCAAGGTTAACCACGATAGTTACCTCGCTCCAATGGCCAAGCTCAAAGCTCAACCACGACTTTTTCTCTCAAACGAGCCTCCAAACCGATAGAATCTAGCATATTACCAACCAAACGATTCAAATTAAGCCTTAGGAACTACCCACGATTGTAAAAAATTCAATTTAGACCATTATTGAAAAAATCAACAAAATATTAACACCCGAGTCCGCTTGGTCTAAACCCGAAATTTGGACCAAAATCCGATTACCCATTCACCACCGAGCCCAGATATATAATTGGTATTGGAATCCGACCTCAATTTGAGGTCTAAATCCTCAATTTTCGAAATCCCTAGTTTCTACCAAAAAATTCCTAATTCCACCATAAAAACCTTAGATTTTAGGTTGAAACCTTTTGAAATGTGGTGAAAGATTGAAAGGAGAAATGTTAGAATCACTTACCAATGATTTGGGGAAGAAGGAGTCTTTGAAAAATCGCCTCTTATGTTTCTAGGTTTGAAAATTTGAAGAATGGGAGAAAAATCCCGTCCAAGTCATTTTTACATAGCTGCAGATGTCGGAAATGCGACCAGGGCTTCGCAAATGCGAAACTCCCACACTTATGTTGCCTTTGCAAATGCGAACAAATTGTTTGCAAATGTTGAACCTGAGGATCGCAAATGCGACCCTTGTTTTCGCATATGCGAAGTTGCCCCTCCCAGCCCACCTCTCGCAAATGTGATGGTTTCTTCGCAATGCGAGCCTTGCAAAAGCGAGATCTGCAGGTCTGATGCACGCCAACTATGAATTTCTAAATTCTATTAACTCCGTAACCTATCCAGAACTCACCCAAACCCTCGAGACTCCAAACCAAACATGCATACAAGTCTAGAAAAATCATACGAACTTGCTCGCGCGATCGAATTGCCAAAATAACACCTAGAACTACGAATTGAACACCAAATCGAATGAAATTTTCAAGAAAGCTTTGAAACTTCTATTTTCTCAACCGTACATCCGAATCACGTCAAATCAATTCTGTTTCTTACCAAATTTTACAGGCAAGTCATAAATATTATATTAGACTTGTATCGGGTTCCGGAACCAAAATACAAACCCGGTATCAACAAGAATAAATATTAATTAATTTTTTAAAACCATTAAATTTTTAAACTTTTAATTTTCAACAAAAATTCATAACTCGAGCTAGGGACCTCCGGATTCAATTCCGGGCATATGTCCAGGTCCCATATTATAATACAGACCCATAGGGACTGTCAAAATATGGGTCCGAGTCCGTTTACTCAAAACGTTGACCGAAGTCAACTAAAATTAACTTTTAAGGAATTATTTTTAATTTTTATCATTTTTTAGCATATAAGCCTTCCGGGTTAATACTCGGACTATGCACGCAAATCGAGGAAGGCTAAAATAAAGTTCTAAAGGCTTCGAAACATATAATTTGATTCCAATACATAAAATGACCTATCAGTCATCACATTTCCATTCCAATATTCAACCAAATTATCCTCCTTGTTTTTAGTTAAAAATTCGTTAAATTTATTGAAGTTTGTTAAAGCACACAATTCCATTAATTGTGCTAATCATGTATGACAAGAACTAAAATCCAAATTTATCTACAATAAAAAGACTAGATGCACACATTCCCCATGAAAGATTTAAAAGAAAGGAAATGCAAGCAATTGGGAATTTACACGTCATGAGGCTCCCAGAACTATTTTGATATCTAAACAATAACTAATCTAAATACCCAATAAAAAAACATATCCCAGCTAAGTGATGCACATATTTACGGTGTATTACACAAATCTAGAATTAAATTGCACAAATAAAATATAAACTAATATAAGAGAAAGGTGATGATTAAAGATTTTGTTACCATATTACCAGAAAATGATGATGCGCAGTTAATATGTATATACAATATAAAACCTATATAATAATCTGGGTGAAATGTATAGGTGATTTTCTGTATTTACATACTCTATTTCCATAATAATTGCTACTTTTGATGGAGGAGCGAAAAAGAGGAGAGAGAAAAAGTTTGTGTAATGTGGTATGTCTATCTTTATGATACATCTACAACAGTATACTATAAACTAAAAATAAATTTAATACAAGTAATTATACAATATACAATTTACTTACAACTTATCTACAATATTCTTACCTAGGTAAATACAATTACAACATCACACAACTTAGATACAATTTTCATATAAATTTTATACAATTTGTCTTTTGTATGTATTTTGTATATGATTTGTATATATTTTATATGTGGTGTGTTCTTTTTTATCTCTGAAATTCCAATCAAAATTTTCTCTCTTAAAATAATTTTGATACATATCGACAACTTTATATAAAAAGATAGTATTTATAATTTAAATACATTTTATACAATGATTCATACATTGTACAATTATTTTTCAGCTTTCATACAACATTCAAATAAAAATATATATATAATTACAACAGAATACAACTTAAATACAATTTACATACAACTTTAATACAATATATTGTATGTCATGTCTTCTCCTTCTTCTTCTTCTTCTTCTCTTCTTCTTCTTCTTCTTCTTCTTCTTCTTCTTCTTCTTCTTCTTCTTCTTCTTCTTCTTCTTCAAGTTTCAATATGAAATTCAGCCAAAATCAATACTAATCTTCACCAAACACCCTCAAAATTGAGATATAAACTCCAAAGAATATTCTTAAATGTTAGCAACAACACAGAATCCAAACAAAATAATAGTTTTTAAAAATCCAAATTTAAATTCAAAACTTTGAAGCTTTTTAGTGGCTATCAACTGTGGAGAATCAAACACCTTCAAAATTTATTTATCAACAATTTTAATTCGAACACCAATTGTGCAACATGAAAGAAAATTGCTGGAAAAAAAGAGAGGATAAAAAGCAGAGAAAAATGAAGGAAACAAATTGGGGAAAGAACAGAGAAGGATAGAAAGAGAGAGAGACAGAGACAGACGGGGAGAGAGAAAGAGAGACGGAGAGAGAGCGCATGGATGGAAAATAAATAAATCCATATTCAATTCCTAATATAAAGGGATACTTATTAATACTAATTGTATATAATTGGTAAATTGTATATGCCTATGTAATTAAGTTAAAACTTGATTATGGAGAGTAATAAAGGTTCATATGTAGTATATGAAGGTAAAAATTCCTTCATTTTAAATGTGGATTACGACATTTTTTTTGCTAGTTTGATATACCAAGGCTTGGTAACCGATGGCATTACGGAATCTTTATAGAAATTGTCACGATCATATTCACCGTTTATTTTCCTTAACCGATATATATATTTATACATTAATTATACACAATAATATACATAATATATTTTATTTATACATGCAGGGTACGGACGTTGTGCATGTACCCTGTCTAAATGAATAAAAAGTTTTTTAATTAATCATATGAATATTATATTGAAAATTATATTTGAATAATTATAAATAAAAGTGTAAGCTTTTGAAAATGAGGAATGTTGATCCTATAAACCTAACTCAACAAGAGAAGAAATCGCCCAATGAAAGTTCTCAATAATCCTCTAATATTAAAAAAAAAAAAAAAGTTTGTATACAAAGAGTGTAGAGGTTTAAAAGAAATCAAAANGGGGGGGAGGGGGTTAATTCGTGTAATTTTTATTTGTTAAATCTTGAGGTCTTCTATTATGGAATTTTTCATCTCTAAATTCCCTGTCAATAGTTTTTCCCATTCAATTAATTTTGGTTTTTAATATTTGTGTTCAACAAGAAATATTAGTTTATATGTTGGATGTAGTTGCATAAATTTTGAAACATTAAAGGATTTACATGGTAAAATTGTGTATAGTTTAAATAGATAAAGAAAATTTTATAAAAAAATAAAGACTCCTAAATTAAAAAGGAGTACAAAGTGCTCGTTCTTTAGCTAATATAAATGACTCCTATATAATTAAACCATATTGGTAAAATTGCAAAGGAAATATGAAATTAAATTGGAATATGCATTTGAGACACAAAGGTTAAAAAAGAATGTAATATGGAGAAGCATAACTATTAAACTATTATCGAGGTAGAGTTTAATGGGATTAGATTTCTGTGGAATTTTACACAAATGATCTTTTGAAAATGAATGAAAGTTATCCATCATAATTCGCTTCGTTTAGGAAAAATAAAAAAAAGTTTTGGATAACGTCTTCTCAATATTTGTTTCTTTTGTTTTTGATTATTTTAGTTCTTTATAAAACTGAGATGAAGAAACAAAAATTTATAATACTCCTAACTATAAATGGAGTTGAAAGTGAATGAAATTTCTTACCGTAAATTGAAAGTACTTGAAATTCTAGAACTAAAAGCAATTTAAAAGTTAAAGTTTTTAATTAGGTGAAGAATTAAATCACTATTCCTAATTAGCAGAAAATTAATTAAATGATCCTATTCCTAAATACTAAAAATATAATCAAATAACTAGTGTAAACTCTATTTTAAAAACGTAAAAAAAAATAAACGACATTTCGCTAAGGGCTTTCGTGCTTTTAATATAACAATGACAGATATTATATATCCTCCGATAATTTTTAGTTTAAGCAATTGGGTGAGCGGCTATTTAGGTTAATAGTTCTATCATTATTTCACAATTCGAAAATACTTACGTCCATGGTCCATGCGCTAAACCAATTATAGTAATAGCACGGGTTAGCTGCTTTTTAATCCTGTAAGTGAAAAAATTGTCATGGAATTTCAAATATAAAAGTAAAACTCTATTATAATGGCTATTTTTCACTTACAGAGACTAAAAATGGGCTATTTGTGACTTTTATCCAAACCAATGAGTGCATTACATGGGTCATGAATCTTTTTTTGCTATAACTTAACTATGGAAGAATAATATATGTACTTTTGCTTCAATTGTAATTCAACCATGGTAATAGTAAACTTATTTTAATTTTCCAAATGTAATAGACTAAACAAAGCTAGACAAAGAAAAATGCACACATAAAAGTTACAAGCTAATACAAAGAGGACCCCAAAAAGAAAAAGGAAACTTTTGCTATATAAATAGAATTTTCACCTGAGACAAGCTAAGACTCAAGAATTTACCATAAAGCTAGACAACTAGCTACGACTTGCTAAGACATTTTTGGTTGTTTACATGACTAAGTTTCGTCAATGTATTCACAGTTAAACTGCAAGACAACTCAATATTCCTACGCTTGGAACTTATCCCCCAAACTTTAAATTTGATAGGCACATCCATGGATAGAGACAAAGATAAATGTTGATTTGAATTCGTGCTATTCATGTTCTTTTCAACTTCCTTAGGCAATTGATCTATTTCCCCGTTATGAAGAATAACCTTAAAATCTGTCGACCTCTTGGGATTTTGGTCTAAATTAGGAAAATTCCCTTGAGCAATTTTTTTCTGCTTAAAATACAAAGAAACACCACCTTCCTCTTCATAATATAAAATTCTTGACCTTTGATTCGGATTCTTGGCTTCAATTGTAATGTCATATTCATATTGAGGACGTTTATGCTGAAGTTGTAATTTCTTGAGTAAGACTTGTTTCACACTAAATTGTGGATCATCATGCTTGGTAAATAATTTGGTAGGACCTATTATCAATCCAATAATACTTCCAATAACAACTAACATTACAACTATGCATAAACAACGACGAGAATAACAACAAGAACGTCGAGGTTTTCGGTTCTGATTTCGGTGGCTTTCAACGATTAGAGCATTTTCAGGTGGTGGAATGCGATAGATTTGATCTTTTGGGACTTGAACAACGTAAGTTCCTGAAGCGAAAGGAAATAGGGTAGTACAAACTGATATAGCTAAAGGTTCATAGTGGCTAATATCGTTATGTGTGGGGGAATTATTATTTGTTGTAATTTGGTTTTGGGGAAATCCATCGCTTTTTTCAGATTGGGACCGCTCCTCCATGGAAGAATGGAGAGCGGTGAAGATGGATGCCTAAGGTTGGTAAGGCTAATGATGGACAAAAGGTGGTGGCTAGTTTTGCATGGGAAAAGGTTGTTGCATTTGCATGGGGGGGAATGGGATGTTGAGCTAAAAGAGTGGAAAATTGAACAACTGCCTTTAAATTAATTTCCAATATTTCTTGCTTTTTGTACTAAATATGATTGGTACTCAAGCAATATGACAAACAAGAAATACAAAACTAGACAAAGAAAGGTGTTTAAATTCTGCCCGTTAATGGTGTAAAAAATATTATACAATTATGTTACTTAATTATAAGAAACAACAAATAAATCCGTGTGATAGTAAATTAATAAATATGGTAATTAACCTTCTGTCACGAGTGAAAATTCACACTCTCGTGCTCGAATATCAAGGAATTGCTAGTAAAATTCAAATCAAAACTAAGAGTATGATGCATAGGAATAATGCTGAATAGGGTGTATTAGTAATGCTGATATTAATTATGCTTGCATTAGTTATGCTTGTATTAGTTATGCTGACATATTTTTTATCCATTGTTTGGTTTGATGTTTTAAAACATTGCACAATTTCTAAAAGAATTGTTTGTTTACAAAAATGCCCTCAAAACTAGTTCACACTCTAACTTTTTAAAAGAAACATATGTTGAGAAATATTTTTATATGAAACAGTTTACAAAAAATTATTTGATTTGTCTACCTATATTGTAAAATAAAATTAAATATTTATTTATAAAAAAGAAAATATGCTAAGTATTTATTTATTTACTAGGGATATAATTTTATTTCTCACTATTTGGATTATTTTGAACTTGCATTAATATACTAACTAGCATATTTTAATCAAACATAAATTTGAAGGACAATTTTGTCTTTAACTAAGCTAATGTATGCATTAAAACTCATTACATTGCTAATATCATTGTTTTCTATGCATTAGTTATGCATAGGATAATACCAAATAGGATGTATAGCTAATGCTTGCATAACTAATGCATATGTTCAAAATGTGTACCAAATAATATATTATTAATACATAAAGCTAATACATGCATTATTTTATCTAATGCACCCTGCCAAACGACCCCTAAGTGCACGAAAGTGTGTTGTCTGAAACATATGCTTAAACTGAGTAGCGTAGACTCAAAATGGAGCTAGTGTCGTTTTCTCAAAATGGATTTCTACTGGAAGATTTCAAAGACTGAGCATCAAAATCAACTTTATGCTAATCTTCATCTAGTATTTATTCTTATTTCTAAATAATACTCCCTCCGTTTCACTTTATGTAAACCTATTTTTTTTTTGGTTTGTTCCCAAAAGAATGATCCCTTTATAAATTTGGAAATAATTTAGCTTAAACTTACAATTCTACCCTTAATGAGAAGTTTTTATAATCACACAAATACTCTAGCCCCTTTTTGACTTGTTTAGGACCAAAATTTCCAAAAATCTTTATTTTTTCTTAAACTCTGTGCCCAGTCAAACAGGTTCACATTAGTTGAAACGGAGGGAGTATGAACAAAAATTGAAAAGAATATTATCTCTATCAACAACAATATTTGAAATTTTGCTGTCGTTAATTGAGTCTTTGTGATCCAAAAAATTTCAAACAATAGACTTCTTAAAGCTTCAAAGAGTACTAAATTTATTTTAGGTGAGAATATTATACAGAGTATTAGAATTAATAAAGGGGTAATTGTTTAACCAAAAAATAAAATTTTAGTCAAAGTTAGAATTTAGAAGAACACGGGTTACTGATAATCAAAAGAATGTATAAAAGGAAGTAATTTAGGTAGCAAGAGAGTAATCAAGAGAAAAACAAGTAAACCAAAGTTTTCCAATAGTGTTTTTTTTTGTGTCCTTACAATTGATCATATATCTCCCTTTTATAGATATCTTGGAGATATACGTTTTGCCCAAATCATAATGAGGCTATTATGAGTAATTAAAGACATTGAATGCTACATTACATAATCATTACATTCAATACAAATTCTCTAACGTATTCCATATTTAATGCCTGTTAAATGCCGTATCTGGACTCTTTTCTATTGTCAGATTCATTCTTTTTGATTCTCGGACATAAATGACTTAGATAGGTACGGGCGCTGAGTTATTTGAATAACTGTCTGTGCCTCTTCCTCTGCCATTTACTCGTATCTGTTACAACTCGTGCCTCTTGGCTAGTTGTAATTCTTTGACTATTTGACCAGTTTACGTGTCTCGACACGTTACCTTTATATTTAAATACAATTTTTTCCAATACAGATAGTCCCTCCACTTTCCATTTATTCATCAGTTGAATATTTGGGAAGTGGATTTCATTAAAATAGAATTTTTGTCACCATTAATGCTATGGCAAAATTGACGCTTCAATTGTCGCTTCCATTTAATGCTCGGTACACGTGTCATTTTTCCATTGATTCTGCAGTTTTGCAGCCCTTTTCAAGGCTTTTTTACGGCTCCACTATTCACGAAGTGCCATTTATCATTATTATGGTCCTTCCATTACTGCACTTTTACCTTTGGAGATTGCTTATTAATATAAATATAACTTCTTTCCTTGTCTTTTACCACATAAAGCTTATTGAACACTTAATTCCTCAAATCTCAGTTCACTTCTTCCTCACATTATTCTTCTTCGCCATGTCTTCACCAAACCCTAACCCTAAGAGAGTTCCCATTGTTGATACCTTCCCCAATGCCCCTATTAGGCATAGAAGGGGAGGTAGGCTTCGTAGCTTAGGGTCTACTTGTGGTGGTGACTCGTCTATACCTTCTCCTAGTTCTGGTCCTTCTTCTAGAACCAGAGTTTCCCTTTCTCACAAATCTTCTTCTAGGGGTAAAAAACCTTCTGAACTATTACGTGAGCCTTTAGTAGAGGAGATAGTCCCTACAGAACTATCTTTTTACCATGATAGAGAATCTGTTAGGAACTAGGTTTTCGCTTTAGATCGTGCTGATGCTTACCCCACTCAAATTACAGAAGTTTTGACTCATGTAGTTCGCAAAGACTGCCATTGGAGTAATGATTTTTCCATTATTATCCTAATCCAAATCAGAGAATTACTTCTTACTTGACTGGGTTATCTTTTGTTTATATATACCCTTTCACTTTAGGGTTCAAACCAGTTATTGACCCAGTCATTCTTGAATTTTGACGTTTCTTTAATGTATGTTTGGGTCAAATTGGCCCAATCATATGGAGGGTTGTTGCCTATTTGAGACATTTAACCAATATGGCTGACGTTTCCTTTACTTTCCCTCACCTGATTCATCTTTACTCCCCTAGGCTTTTCCGTAATGGCGTTTTTACCCTAGTGGCCAGGAGTAAGAGGGTTTTGGTGAGCCTTGAAGATGACAAGGACCGTGGCTGGTATGCCCGGTTTGTTGCTGCCCCCACTGTTGGCTTAGTGGGCGAGGATAATGTTCCCTTCCCTGAGAAGTGGAATTTTGCACATAAGTCTTTTATCCTTCTCGTGCCTTTTTTCTTCAAGTTTATCAACTTTTCTAATTTTGCCCTTTTTTAGCAACCATGGGATTTGTGAAGGATATTTCCAATTTCCATGGTGGGGTAGATAAATTGCTGAAGACCGTACCAATAGATGATAGGTCTTGGAGAACACTNTATTCGAGGAGTTACTACTGAAGCAGTTGCGGCCTCTCGTGTCTCTTCGGGAACCCATACTCCTACGGGGGCTTGTATCTCTTTAGAAAGAGCCTGAGAAATAGTCTTGGGTTCTTTTTTTGCGAAAAGGAAAGCTGTTGAAGAGGAAGACTCTGAAGAAGAGGAAGATGGGGGCTCCCTGGTGATGAGGCCACGATCTAGGAGACGCATCGTCTCTGATGACGAAGCTGAAGGTTCCCCTCGTCTTTCTGTTTCTCTTACCAAACCTGTTGAAACCCCAGTAATAATTCCTGACGATGACATCACTCCTTATGATACCCGTGGTCTATTGATCAACTTTTCATCAGTGGTTTTGGTAGTGGAAGTTTAGGGCCTATTTTAGATGAAATACCATTATCTTCTTTTTCAACTCCCGTGTCTGTGATTCCTTCCTTACCAGCCCCAGCTATTTCGGTTCCTTCTTCTACTGTTTTCACCTTCTTCTACCGCTCCTCCTTTGACAATTCCCCCTCCTATCGTTCATCATACGGAAGTGGGCTCTTCAAGTAGAAGTATCGCTATGAGGAGGGTAACTATTGAAGTTCCTGCTGATAGTAGCCTTTTGAGGAAGTCAGGTCATGCAGATGTATGGCTGGAGCCTTTAATTGGCCCAATTGAAAAAGCAAAGTTGGAGAGCCATAGTTCCATGACTCTAATTAATGATATCGTGCATGCCACTTTGAAGGTATTTTCCTTCTCTCCCTTCTTTACTTTGTAATATTTTTTTATCTTTGGGATTCTTATTTCCTTTACTTTTTTTAGGCCAATCTTATCGGCACAGAAATGATGAACAGAATCCCCCTCTTGGAGAAGGTAGCACGTGATTCTCAATTTGAGGCGATCAATTGGAAGGAATAATTTGAGAGTGCACAAATTGATATGGAAGATTTACAAGAGAACAATACCTTAGAGCAGTAGGAGAGGGCTTTAACTTCAGAGTTAGCGGTTGTAAAAGCTTCCTCAAGCCAAGCAGAAAAAGAAAAAAGAACGTCTCGAATCCTCCTTTTCAGAGCAACTATCTAAGGCCAGTGAAGAGAACAGAGAGTTGAAGGCTCTTTTGAGTCAAAAAGAAGTTTACGCTAGGGAGCTCGTGCAAAGCTTAACTCAAGCAGAAGAAGACCTTCGAGTCTCTGCTGATAATGTGCATCCTTTAGAGAGCTCCCATGACTCTCTTCAAGCTTCTTATAACTCCGCCTTGGCTGAAAATGAAGAGCTAAAGAATGAGATTGCTAATTGGGAAAAGGATTATGAGATCCTTGAAGAAAAATCTGTTGTTGAGGTAAGTTTGACATTTTTGAATTCACGTCGTGATACCCTAATTGAAGCTGGCCAAGCAAACTTCAACCTGGAGTCGGAGTTAGCTAAGATCAATGAAACTATTGA